ACGGGTGTGGTCAGGTAAATGAGATGGGTGAGGGTGTTTGTTTGGTGTTGAGCTAGCAGGGGGGTGGAGAGGGAGCAGTGGTAGTGGTGTCTGCTCGACAAGGTGTGTGTTGGCGTCCATACAAAAACTGACGCCTACAGGCATGGCCCCGCCTCTTTCCCACCAGATCGACTTTCTTCAGTGGAGGAATGAGACACAGACACCTCCTCCAGGCTGAGACATATAATCTGGGCCTGTCAGGGCCTTTATCAAACAGGATCAACTGGTGCTCTGGGCCTTTCTCCACAGTCCCCACAGGCAGCTGGATACCTGCACACGCATTCCTTCAACACATCCCTGTCCCAAGAGGCATATCACCTGTCTTTTATGGCAGCTCAGCTCAAGGGCTGGGGTACAGTTGCTCCTCTGCATTGTCCTGATTGAAAACTAAGATAGCAGCATTGCCTTCGGTTTGGAGGATTTTCCTGATCCCCTGAGCCTCAAAATGTCAGAATGCTGATCAACAGAAAATCCCTGTCTTAGAAAACAGTACAGATTTCATGTTTCCTTGCTTGTTTTGTGACTGTAGTCTCAAGATAATGACAATATGACACACTGATTGTGAGAGATTAGCTCAGGAGACCTTTTATAGCCCCTTGAGGATAGTGCAGCCCACCTGAGGGAGCCCTGCTTGGCTCAGTTGCTTCAGCTGCAAGGCCCATTGCTGTGAGTGACCAGAGAAGAGAGGGTATGAATCAAAGCAGAAGCGTCGTTGTGCACAGGACTCTAATCATATCACTCGCCCCTGAGCCATATGTCTTTGTACTCTCTTTAATTGAATTGAGCCTGGGATGAGATTGGCTGACATACCTTCTAGTGACTGAACCGCACTTAGAGAGCAAGGCAAGGAATAAGAGCAATTTGGGATGGTTGTTTTCTTGGCACAGTATGGCATAAAACCCTGAAGGTATCCTGCAGCCTGCCGTCACCCTTTGACTTGCCCAAAGCCTTAACATTTATTGTCTACTATGAAATAAAAGTGAATTTTACTGGCGTGTTTGCAACCCTATGATCGCTTATTAAAGACGGACTCATCAAGCATGACAGATTCGCGCTCGGCAGGGCTTGTTGTGACAAACACTTACCTTATTGAATTTCTTGGTCACGTGTGAATGCGTTATTTGCTCCTGACTCACCAGGGAGGACATCTGACGTCAACTTGTCCTCAGACTTGGCCAGCTGAATTACTGGCATCTATCAGCTCCTGGCCTCATGGAGGCACATGAAGAATGAAGTTAATGATTTAATGCCTCACAATCACCTGTTTATTTGTGCCCTTGTCCACCTCTGTTAATCACTTTGTGTAAAGAATTGCAGAGGAGGTGCAGACATGTTGCATTCATATCTCCAGCAGTACAGTATAGAAACACCGCAACGTGTGCGTACATGTCTGACTGAAGTCTCAACACCTTTGTGAGCCCTGTATGAAGCACATTGCCCGGAGCAGTTTGGATTTTCCCTGAAAAGAACTGAGGTGAAACACATTTTGTCTTTCTTCCTATTTTGTTTTTTCTGCTTCCTGTGCAGCCAGGAGGCCAAACCGTGAAAACCAAACAGAAATGGAAACAGACAGACAGAGAGGTCTTTTCAGGCTCCTTGGCCCATAATCAGAATGGGATGTGGGTTTGCGACTGCAGTGAACAAAGCCAGTGTTAAACGTGGCTGTGACGTAGAGTCAAAGCTGTCCAAACAGTGTCGAGGCAGGGCTGGCTGCTGAAGAGGTGAAAAGCTCTGATTTTAGAAATTATACGTGCCAGACAGCATAAGATATAATGAGACAGTGAGAGTCTGGCACAGGAGCCAGGATCACTTTGTGATGTTTGATGACTAATTTTTGCCAAACTCAGCATGGCCAAGTGCTCCCTCTGATGCCGAGCACCCACAGTGAGTGGTAACTTGGCTGAAAAGTTGATCTGAAACAAGGTAGCTCGAGAGGCACAGCTGTTAATGCTATACCTGACTGAGAGATGTGCTGAGGCTGCACTGCTCGTATAGAAACAGACTGAATTCTCAACATCTGTCCTCAGTGGCTGCTGCAGATCACAACCTGGTGTTTTCATTTGAAATGCCATTGACTATTGCTAATAATACTAATACTAAATACATAAATTATAGCAGCACGTACTAAATAAAAAATGCTACAAGTATTTTCAAACAATTTTAAATCGAATCAACATACTTTCTTAATTCAGTAATTATATTTAACCAATTTTATATATATTGAATTGAAGTTAATCATATTCTATGAATAAAACCTAAAAGCTGAATAAGGTTCAGTCATTCAATATGCAAAGAAATTGTTTCTGAAGGCAAAATCGTGGACGTTTTGATGTGATAACTTATTTATTTCACACAGCACGTTCTCCAAAACAGTATTTTAGTAAGTTCACTTGGACAGAGAGAATTTAGTGGATTAATCTCAGCAGCTTTTCAGATTCCTCTGCCTCACACAGGGCATGTTAGGGTTCCCAGCTGCTGTTTCATGCTCCGTTCTCTATGCCATGCAATTATGCTGGTTCCCACCGGACGTTTGGATTGGGTGGAGCTCTGCAAGGAATAAGCTCAGGCATTAACTGCTCCTCACTGAGCATGACTTACATGAAACCACAAATACAGTTAGAACAAAAAAAAAAAAAAAAAAAAAAAAAAAAAAAAAAGGAAAGAAGCTGAGACGCACGCAAACACACTGCACCAAAGCACAAAAGAAAATAAACCATAAAGATAGCTGCTGCACAGGAAATGGCATTCCGGCACAAAGAGACACCACCCATAATTTTGTAACTGATTCACATTTGAATTCACTCTTATGGAGAGGCCTCACAGATTTGAGGCATCTGATTTCGGTTCAAAAAGCACTAGCCTTTGGAAGCCGTTCAATGATTAACATCACACTGTCTCAAGGCAAAAGAAAACATCAGACACATTTCAAACAAAGCCCCTGAAGACATGCTGGGCTTTTCCTCTTTCATCCGTCAAGATAATGCTCTTTTTTTCAATTCATATCTTACAGTGGGCGTACATCACAGAAAAAGGGGCTGTGTAAGAAAGACAGAAAGAAAGAAAGAAAGAAAGTAAGAAAAGAAAGAAAATCAAACATTTAATTGTCTGTACAGTTATCATCTGCTTTAAAATTAGTACAGAACAGCTGTGTTGGATCAGATGTTGAAAACCACACGCTGTATCTCTGCTGCCAGTCTGGGTTGGGGACAATGTGCTGAGACCTGGACAGACAGTACGTTACAGGGGCTCTCTGCCTGTGACAACAGAGTCGTTGTGCAGGAAGGCTGGTAACGCCTGGCACTGAGGCTACAGCCCTGCCAGCAGACACCCAGCCACTCACTGCTCAGTCGCCTGCCCTCAACTGACTTCATTTTATGGCTGACAGCGCCCTCTGCTGTCACGGGTCAGTACTGAGAGTCACAAGGCAGGTTTGTTTTTCATGTATCTGTTGCTCGTCTGTTGTCAGAGCATGAAATAACTGAGTACAACAGAACTAGTCATTCTTCACTTGTTGCTGCTGTCCAGTGGAAACTATACATTTACCTGACTTTGGGATGTTTATACTTTCAGATAAACGTAATAAAACTAAAATTCATTGTCAGAAAAAGAGAAAGAGAAAAGATGGTTCTCCTAATTTTTGAAAAGTTACATTTTGGAGATTGGGACTGGTTTTTATAGAATTGCAAATGTTTTCTGACACATCCTGCAATACAGAGCAGCAAATGTACAACGTTTTGATTAACAATAAATTAACTAATTAATTCAACAATCAATAAGCCACAGCAATGTTCCAGTCAGTCTGAACCTCACAACCTTACAGTTTATTTATAGTGTATCTAATGGGGTCAAAGCAAAAACCTGAGACTTTTCTTTTAATCTGAGAGGATTAATCAGTCAGTCGATAGAGATCAATCAGCCACAGATTTGATAACCGATAAATCATTTGAGTCATTTCAAGCAAAAGTGGCAAAGATTCACTGGTTCCTGACTCTCATATTGTCTGTTTATTTATTTGGATCTCTGTTCTCTCTGGGCTACATATAGAAATACACCGCACATAAAGACAACACAATCAACACTACTTACACAAGAGGACAAAGAATAAATGAAAAAAAAAGTCAACACTACCATAATAATCTCTCCTATTACTATGACAAAAAATAAAATGAATATTGCTTCACTTTATCTGAAGTGTCTTTCAGAAGAATCTTTGTCAGTCATAGTTCATAATAATCAGAATAATCACGTGAGCATCTTCTGGTTTTATTGGTCTTATGACAATAAACTGTTGATCAGACAAGACGAGATATCACATTGACCTCATCACAGGTGGTGGCTCTTCTTCTACTTCTTGAGAAAAAAATCAGCACTCGGCAGTGGTTGCTGTTAAGAAACTGCCATAATATAAACACCACCCACACACACACACACACACACACACACACACACACACACACGCACACACACACACAAACTGAAACACATTTTTCCCTGCATCCTTGATGCTTACTTGTCTGCTCTCATGACTGCAGCAGCTTGACACCTGATAAGACGTCCACAGAACATGTAGACTGCTGCCAGTATAATCTTCCATCAGCACTGATGTGACCCCTCACCCCACCCCACCCCCTATTTCCCCTCTCTCTCCCAAGCTGCAGTTGTTTTAAGGTTTTCTGCGTGTGCAACAGTAAATAATTCATTGTCAGCGACGCTGCCTACAGGTCCTGGTGCGGAGAGAGCAGCCTTGCTCGTCATTCCTGCAGTGTGCAATCTGGCAGCAGCTCCTGACAGAGACAGAGAGAGATTGCACAGATCCAGGGAAGCTGCAGAGCACCCACACCCACCGAGGATACACAGGGACTACCCTTACTCCCCCTCCTCCCTCATTTCCTTTCTGTCTTACCCATCCCCTTTCTCTCTCTCTCTCTCTCTCTCTCTCTCTCTCTCTCTCTCATGCTGTCTCTCTCCACTCTGCGCTCAGCATTATCAGAACTGCTGTGGTTGTAGGCAGGCTGACCATCGCCTCTCAACAAGCTACTTGCCACTGAGGAGAAACTTCAAGAAGCTCCCTCACACAGCTTCCTTTCTCCCCCTCCCCCCCGTCTAAGGATGTTGGAGCTCGGAGCGAGATGGCTGAGGCTGATCTACTTGTCCCTCCTGTGTCTGTGTCTGTGCCTGCCAAGGGAATCAAACGCCAGGAGAGCTCCCAAGATACCCCGCTGTCCTGCGACCTGCTCCTGTACCAAAGACAGTGCCTTCTGTGTGGATACCAAAGCTATCCCCAAGAGCTTCCCTCCTGGAATCATCTCTCTGTGAGTCCAAAAATTCATGCGTGTGCCTTTCACTCACCAAAAATCATCTTTTCATAACCTGTATGAAGTGTCAGCAGTATGCAGGCTGGTACAGATGGCTACATCACTGATGTCACCCTCCATTATGTAATGATGCATAAAATCCCTACTCCGCTCACCTAAAAGTGAATATAGGTATGTTTCCTGTTGATGTTTCCTTGATCCAGTGTGTGTTAGCATTGGGTGAAAGGTGTATACCAGCCAGTATTACATAATAAAAATAACAATGTCCCTCTGCTATATGCTGAACTTAGTTGAAGGGGCACAGCAGTAAAATCCTGTCGAGCTCCAGGGAAGAATACTAACAATAGATTCCCTATCTGGCTGCAGGAGACCTGCTTCTCCTCTCAGAGATTTAATCTTAAAGAGGGGACAGAGATACGCTCAATAAATAGTACATATAATGAAATGGAAGGCTTAACATTTAATGGCATGGGGGGAAGGTTATGTCAAGATGCTCCCTTTCATTTCATATTGACCTCCCCGTCGCCCGTGGATTGAATATTGAGTTTATACAGTCAAGGGAATTCAAGAGCACAGGCTGGTGGAGGTGGCCTCATTTTACAATGGAGAAGAGGTAAAGAAGTGAAGAAGGAAGTTATGTGTCCTAGATTTAGTCCTCCCTCATATCTAAACTGCAAGGACAGACGTGTGCTGAGACAGGAAGGACTTAAGAAGGAATAAAATTGACACGGTTCATGTTGGAAACAAGACATTTTCTCCCATGAAACACATGATGTCACACCCCTAAGCTTTGGCACTGCCTGCATAAGCTGCATTCTCACATCTAAAAGACACATCTGATGAGAACCGATGTTGTTTTTGTCTGGACAGGACCATGGTGAACGCAGCCTTCACTACTATTCCAGAGGGAGCTTTCTCGCACCTTCACCTCCTGCAGTTCCTGTGAGTGCTCCGACCCATACAACAGAGCTTTACTATGACCGTAAAACACCCTAAACTTTAGATTCAGTGTCTCTCCCACAGCCAGTTCAGCTTTCCCTATCTGAAAATACAGACACAACACTTTGTATCGCAGGTATGTTTTCATGCTGCTGATATTGTGGCGCACTCAGACTTCTTTTGTTTCGCAGTGACAATGAACGGACTTGAGCTACTAGAAATGAATGGTTATTGAAAACAGTGGTGACATAGCAGTAATAAGTGTAAAGTGGCTCTGTATCAGTGTCATTGCCAATGACTGACTCCGTTCAGTTGTGCCCTGCAGGACAAAGGGCTGTTTATCTCCTCAGATGCAATCATGAGCGTGTGTTCATGTGTGTGTGTGTGTGTAGGTCTGTGTGTGTTTGTGTATATTTGAAATGTATTTATCTCATTGTTCAGATCTGTAGCCTTAGTTATCATTATATAGTATGAATGGTTTAAGTTATTGAAACTACAAATAATTTTTTTTTTTTTTTAAAGATACTTGAAATGGCAATCAGTTGCTTAGATGGTTCCCTATAACTTCAGCAGGACACATACAATATCATCAATGTGATTGTATCTTTGCTGCCTTCTTTCCACAGGCTCTTGAACTCCAACACATTCACTACAGTTTCTGATGATGCCTTTGCTGGTCTGTCTCACCTGCAGTACCTGTGAGTGTCTCACTTTACGCCACTGAATGCAAGATAATACTAAAATGATTTTGACTGAATTTAGTCTTCAAGAAAATAACATTTGCTATGTTGTGCTGTATTTTATTTTTGAAAAAAATTAAAATAAAGTGTTCTACTGTGTATGCACTAAAAGAAAAAAAACTCAAAAAAACACACATTCATTACTGATAAAATGGATCCTGACTGAAGTCAATGCACTGAGGGTTTTTGCTGCTAGGGCCTAGCTTGGTCTGGTATGACCACAAGCTAATATTGGAAAACTTTAAATAGCTGTTGCTGTGTCTGACATCACTGAGTCAGATTGCTGACTGTGACTGTTTGTGCTACTCTTACATTATGGTTTAGCAATTACCATTGTACTATCATTACCATTAGCCACTGCTGCAAAACAGTGACAAATGGGGATTTAAATAAATAAATAAATAAATAGTTAGTCTGCGTAGGTTTATTTGTCCATAAAGGGAATAAAATAAATGTGACTTAAGGCTGCACTGTAAGATTTCAGCACTGGACTGCAGTATAGCAAAGAGTGCCAAAAGTAAAACTGAAAAAATAAATCCTCCTACAACAGCAAGCACACTGCATCTGTGGTGTGATAAAGCTGCACATACCATTCTTTGAATTGATGGGCTTTAGAAATTAGTTAGCTGATGGCTTGGAGTGTGCAGTGAGTGGCTCTGGCTGCAGCCCAGCCATCAGCTCTCTCTGCATCACTGCCACCACAGCCGCTACCCGTTGTGAATGCTAATAAAGTCATATTTTCATATCCAGCCAGCCACCTCCAGGAAGTCTGCACATGTCTTATGTCCTCCACTATCAATAGACAATGCAAAGACGGGGCAGGATCAAATGGTGCTGACACGTAGACCTTTGTAACACTGCGCTGCACTCAGTGTCTCATTTTGATCACGTTAATCAAAGGCAAGAAATTAGCTTTTACCATTAATTTTACCATTAATTTTCTTACTTTTTTTGCAGCTAATGCAATGATTGTATTAGTGAACAGAATCTATCAAATACAAATGAAAAAGAGTAAAATGTTTCTCTGTATTGTCACATCTTTATTTGTTGCCAACTCAGACCTATTCTTTAGGATAGACAGGCCGTTACCTTGTCATTGTAACTGCACCAGAGCTGCTATTACTGAAATAATGACTGCTTATACTCACACTCCTATTCTACCCTCCACATACAACACAATCTCCTCTCCAAACAAAACTGACATTATATAACACTGGTTGAATTTCAGAGTTCGTCATCACTGTGTGATATACAAGAGCTTTCTTCTCTTCTCAGGTTCATTGAGAACAATGACATCCAGGCTCTCTCAAAGTATACCTTTAGAGGACTCAAATCCCTGACTCACCTGTGAGTATTTTCTTCAGCTAATAGGATCGAGACACAGTTTCTGTTGCAATTACAGACTATACAAGCCAGACCTTATGATAACTATTTCTTCTTTTTCCAGATCCCTATCAAACAACAACCTGCAGCAGCTGCCTAGAGATCTCTTCAAACACTTAGACATCCTCACAGATTTGTAAGTGTGCTGACGCTGAAATCAAAACAGTGGCTTGACATCCAGAGAGCTTTGACCCTACAGTCTGTCACTACAAAACACTGGTTTGCCGGGGTTCCCTGAGGGTTTAGAGGACTACCACACTCGTGTGCAAAACTGTCTGGCTTGAGTGTGTGGTTTGGTTCTAATTCAATCTATGCTGATGCACTTACTTTGTCTGGTTTTCCTTCCTGGTAGGTTTGGAGGATTTATGTTTGAGCATTTTTGATTTAAACTGACACATTCTCTCATTCGTCTCTCTGTCACTCAGAGACCTGCGAGGGAACTCTTTCCGTTGTGACTGTAAAATCAAGTGGCTGGTAGACTGGATGGAGAAGACCAACACCTCAGTCCCTGCCATCTACTGCGCCAGCCCCTTTGAATTCCAGGGACGCAGAATCCACGACCTCGTACCACGAGACTTCAGCTGCATCAGCGCAGGTTTTACTTAATCTCCTCTGAACATTACGCAGACAGTGATATCATGGCATTACTTCTTGTTTTCTATTTAATTCTTTCACTCTGGTTTTTCTTCCTACAGATTTCGCTGTTTATGAAACCTTCCCTTTCCACTCTGTGTCAGTGGAGTCCTATGAGTTCAATGGAGACCATTTTGTGGCCTTTGCTCAGCCTGATTCAGGGTTCTGCACCGTGTATGTATGGGATCATGTGGAGATGGTCTTCAGAAGGTTTCACAACATTACCTGTAAGTTTCAGGCTAAAAAAGGCATAAAAACTGTACAATACCATGTTAAAAAAAACTGAATTCTGATGTTTTGCTGGCCTCTGTGTGTCTGTCTTGCAGCTCGCTCGGCTGTGTACTGCAAACCAGTGGTGATAAACAACACACTTTACATGGTGGTGGCTCAACTTTTTGGTGGATCGCATATCTACAAGTGAGATTTAATCTTGCATACAGCCAGTGTGTTGTTGTCAACATTACCTTAAAGGAATAGTTAGACATTTTGGGAAATAGAGTTATCCACTTTCTCTCTGAGAGTTAGTTACGAAGATTGATAGCACTCTCACATCTGTACAGTGAATATGTAGCTGAAGCTAGCAGGTGATAAGCTTAGCTTAACATAAAGACTGAAAACAAGGGGAAACCGTTAGCCTGGCTCTGTCCAAAAATACTGTAACAAAATCCACCCACTAGTACCTCTAAAGCTGAATAATTAACACGTTACATCTTTTTTGTTTAATCCATACAAAAACTGTGCAAGTGCAAAAATAAATAAATAATTTTTCCTTTTTACAGGCATTATGTGCTGGACTATCTCTTAGCTGGGTGCAGTTTCCCCCTTTTTTTCACTTTATGCTAAGCTAAGCTAACCGGCTGCTGGTTCTACGTTCATATTTACGGCACAGCTGTGAGAATGGTATCAATCCTCTCATCTAACTCTCATCAAGAAAGCAATTCAGCACGTTTCCCAAAATGTCAAACTATTCCTTTAATTGTGTAAAGCCTTAGGAATGATAAGACAACCTTTATGTTATCACAGGTGGGAAGAGGACCCACAGCGCTTTGTAAAGATCCAAGACATAGACACCACTCGAGTGAGGAAGCCCAACTTTGTGGAGACCTTCCAGCTGGATGAAGAATGGTACTTTGTAGTAGCAGACAGCTCCAAGGCAGGCTCCACCAGCATTTATCGCTGGAACAGCAATGGTTTCTACTCCCACCAGTCCCTCCATCCCTGGCATCGAGACACCCATGTGGAGTTCCTTGATGTCGCAGGAAAGCCTCACCTCATCCTCTCCAGCGCCTCTCAACCGCCAGTGGTTTACCAGTGGAGCCGAAGCCAGAAGCAGTTTGCCTTCTTCTCCCAAATCACAGAGCTGGCTGACGTGCAGATGGTTAAGCACTTTTGGGTGAGGAAAGTTCTTTACCTGTGCCTCACACGCTTCATTGGTGACTCCAAGATCCTCCGTTGGGAAGGCCAGCGTTTCATAGAGATCCAGACTCTCCCGTCTCGGGGGTCAATGGTAGTGTATCCTTTCACAGTGGGCCTCCGCCAGTACCTCATTCTTGGAAGTGATTTCTCCTTCTCCAGAGTATACTTGTGGGATGATCTCACTCAGCGCTTCCAGCCCTTCCAGGAGCTCAACATGAGAGCCCCGCGGGCGTTCAGCTTGGTATCCGTTGACAACAAGGACATTCTGCTGGCTGCCAGCTTCAAAGGCAACACCCTGGCCTACCAGCACCTGGTGGTGGATCTCAGTGCCAAGTAGACATGTGACTGTCAGAGAGAAAGAAGGCGTCTCTGAGCATATAGCAACATGTGCCAAATAAATGAAAGACTGCGAAATGTTTAAGCCATGTAACTAACGGTCTGCTGTTTCACCTGATGTTTTAAGCGAGGCAACTCATTTAATTACTAATCCCTTTTTATGCACTATCCCTCAACATTGGAATGAAATGATCATATACAGCATCAGTAACATGCCAACATAAGCGTCATGCCACTGTTGCATCACTGCTTCTGTTCTGCCAGCCACATGTCAAGGCCAATTCTTTTTTTAAAGTATTATGTTGTATATTGTACTTTACTAATGTGAAAATGATGTGCATGTGCATCTTCTGAATTATTCACTGGATGAGACTGGACATTATAACTGACTGTAAAACTATGAAGGTTTTGTAAGTTACACAGTGTAGTTTCTGTGTAGCATTTTGCATGACAAATGATATAACCATGTAAAACAAGCAATACTTACCATTGCAATACTTTAAACCCTTCATTATGTTTATCTTTATATATGAGATATCCTTGAATCTGGATTGGATTTAATGTTTGTTCTGCAATAACAACATGGGGTCAGAGCCAGCCTGTGGCATGAGCAAACTAAACAAGGGGCCCCAACATTAACTGAAAACTTAAACCTACTGAAGTCCTGCTCTGTTTATGTTCTTTCGAATTTAAGTTTTTAAAGACATATTCCTTGATTTTGTTATGGTGACCAAATCCCAAAATGTTGTTTCGTGTCATGACAATGACATTTTTTTTAGGAACGTGGCCAAAGATTTTGGGGATCTCACTATATTTGGGGACTATAATTGATAACTAATTTGGGAGGCATTGTACAAAATTTGGTGATTTGTGGGAACCATAACAAGATCAGAGAATTTAGAAGTTATAATTTTTTTATGTACAGTCACAAACTGTATTTAATTATTGCTGTGTAAATTTGCACATGGAAGAGTGTGTGGGAAGGGTGTATAATTAAAATCTGTTTATGGCCCTTAAAAAAATGTGTGTCCCATGTCTTATGGTTTTACAATTGCTTTTTTTAAAAAACAGGACCCCCCCCCCCAAAAAAAAATAAAAAATCAACACCTAAAGCCACTATTAGTTTCTCTTATATTGCAGTATTAGGGGTCACGTCTATGTTAAATGATGATGATGGTGTATGATGCCGTTTCAGTGGTAGATTATACACCAAATGACAAAAATAATGCAGAAAAAAAGAAAATGGGCGGAAAACAAGTGAAAAAAACGCTTGAAAAAAGCTCAAATCTCATATATGCGCATATAGGGCGCAAACACAACGCTCATGAACAGAGTTGTAGGTGTGCGCTTGCTTTGGTTTCCGATGTGTCTGCGAGGGTGGAACTGACATATTTTCACTGTGGGACAGACGACACCGCTTTCCCGCACGGCTCTGAATTATAAAAACGCCTACCACCGTATGTTGTTGTTGTTATGCGAAACGTTAGCTCGTGTTAGCTAAGTTTCAATGCATCATGGTGAAGTGAGGGTTTGCTGTGACAGCAGGCGGTGACATGCGAGCTGCTGCTCTGAATTCAGCCTCAACACACGGTATCTGAGTCTACACGTAATTTAACGTTAAGTTGTGCTATTTATTTCTGGTAAGAGTGGGGGCTGGTAGTGGATCCTGCTAGCTAACAGAACGTTAACGTGGTTGTAAACTAGCTAACGTTAGTTGCCAGACCTTCCTGGCCGATAGACGGGTTTAGCTTAAGTTTAGCTTCGGGTATTTTAAATGTCTAACTCCACCGAAATGACCCTGCCGCCTGACTGGGACGACGACGAGCGGATGAATTTTATGTTCTCCGACTTCAAGGAGAACCGAGATGTCAACACGACGGACTGGGACAGTAAGATGGACTTCTGGACGGCTCTGGTCGTAAAGAGCTGCAGGGACCGCGGCACCGTGTGTGTCAATCTGCAGGAGCTCAACAAGACCTTTAGGAGGAAGGAGAAATCACCGCTGGGCTTGGCGACTGTCCTCCAGTCCATGGCCAGGTAACTGTTGTTGTGTCTGCTCTGTCACTGCAGACTCTTCCTTTATGTCGGGGTCAGTCTGTTTACATTGCCTGTATTTTCACTGTGTGTCAGATGTGGGAAGATCCAGAGGGAATCAGAGTTTGCTGCCAATGTGGACTGTGGCTGGCTGTCCTGGGGTGTCGGCCTGCTTCTGGTGAAGCCTCTGAAATGGACCTTTTCCACTCTGCTGGGAAGCGGCCGAGTCCCTTTGGAGGAGTCCTTTGTTGTCATTGAACTAGTGAAGGTTTGTTAAACTCACTGTCTCATAGGGGTGGGACTCAGATGTGTAATATTATCATGATACTTGAGCTGCCATGATTTTTGCATCACCACAGGTATTCTGGACGTGCTTAACCTTGCAACCATTCTTATATTATCATATATTTTCCAGGAGAAAGCAACAGAATTACTCAGGGTCTACAGGAGCAGTGAATTTGCAAGCCGCTCCATCCTGTCATTTCAAGAGCTCTGTGCTCTCTCCTCTGATGTCTGTGTTGATGAGAGCACCATGTGCATGGCTCTCCTGCAGCTGCAGAGAGACAAACAAGTGATGGTTTCATTGCACGAAGGCGAGAAGGTGAAGTGTAATCCACCAGTCCAGAAACTGTTCATTCATAGTCTTTAGAGGCATCTTATGCTGGTAATCGAACTGTGTTTTCTTTACAGATTGTTAAATTTAGTCAGCCTGGGCAGGACCGCGTCTCTACAGTTAGTGATGTGGATATTGGCATCTACCAGCTGCAGCGCAGTGAGAAGCTGCTTGGAGAACGGGTGGAGAAACTGGGTCTGGAAGCTGACAAGTAAATCAACTCAAATATGAGCTTCATGTAGAATGATTACAATTGATTGATGATAGACTGTCAGGGATTTCTAACCAATGCAGTTATTTTGAGCAAAGTCCATGGTGTTTATCATATTATATTATTATTATAGAGAATAACATTTATGGTATATGATATAGTCTTAAATTGCTCCTGTTTTGGAATAACCAGTCCTTTATGTGCAACTTGATTCCTGAGCCATCCATTTCCAGGCATTGGAGTATTAGCTATGCCAGATGGATTTCACTGCATTCAAAGAGTTCAGACACTAAGACTCTGTGATTATTGCAAAAATTGCTTTATATTATCTTTGTGCAGGTGCAGAGAGGAGGCAAAGCTTCTGCTGTCGGAAGGGAAAAAATCACAGGTTACTACAAATGTTTAACTGTAAAAACACAATTTCATATCCAGTATCCCATAGCAAGCAGTTCACTTGGTTATATTCACCGTCTGTTCCACAGGCTCTGAGGTGTTTGAGAGGCCGCAAGAGGGTAGAAAAGAGAGCAGACAACTTGTTTGCCAAACTGGAGACCATCAGAGGAATCCTGGACAGAATAGCCCAGTCACAGACTGATAAGATGGTAACACACCTCCCTCTGCCAACACTCTTTCTGTGAAGGTTGTCTGTAACCAAGTATGTTGTCAGTATTTAAAGTGTGTGCTGAACATGTCTTTAGGTTATGCAAGCATATCAGGCTGGAGTGTCTGCCCTCAGACTCTCTCTTAAGGATGTGACTGTGGAACGTGCTGAGAACCTTGTGGATCAAATTCAGGAGGTAGCTGTTTATTTGAAAACAATCACTTGTGTATTTTATTGTTTTATTTGAATCTTACACATTAGCATCGTAATGTATCTTTTCTGTCTTACCACCAGTTATGTGACACCCAAGATGAGGTGAATCAGACTATATCCACTGGTGTGACCGGCGCAGGTATGCTAATCTGTCACTGCCATATATTTTATATAGTGTATTGTATATATGTGTATCAATGACAGCCAAGTTTGTTATGGTTTTTTTTTTTTTGTAGATGAAGACATAGATGAGTTGGAGGAAGAACTGAAATCTTTGTTGGACGAGTCAAAGCCAGATTCTATCTCAGGTTTACCTGAAGTTCCGACAAAACCTCTGCGACCCTCCCGGGAGCCGAGCCTCCCAGGTAACGACCTGCTCACCTCTCTCCCGGCTGTACCTTACAGCCACTTGAATGTTACTGATGAGCAGCTGGAGGAGGAATTGAATCAGTTAACACTTACAGATTCAGGTTTGTACTTCCAGATTTCTCTTTTTTTTTCCTGTAATGGGCTTTAATATAAATGTTTTAAGTAACACATGGTCACCTCTCTGTCCAGGCTATCAACAGAAGAAAATGACATCGCCTGCCAAGAGATTAGAGCCTGCACAGTGATGGTGTCAGCAAAACATGGCAAGTTTCTGCATAAACATATCAACAAAAACAGTGTCACTGAAAACTTTTCTGTGAAACAGAACTCATAGAAGTTAAATAAATGTTCTAAATGAGCAATCGCTAAATCATAATTCTCAACGTTGTAAAGTAAGTATCAGGATGAGAACAAGGCACTTTCCTTCATTTAATGAAAATAAGAATGCCTTTACTGTGGAGGCGTGCCAAAAATATTTTTAACGATTATTTTTCTTTCATACATTAACAATAAATTAAATTTCGTAAATTTTAACTTGAGAGCTTTCAGATCTGCTCTATCAACAAATATCTGAAGGATCTCAAGTGAAAAGTGAAGATTTTAAAATGTTTTTTGGTGTGCCGCCGCCACCACCAGGAATGCTTTTAATTTTGTGGTATTTTTGACAAGATAAAGAGAAAAGCTGTATTTGTGGTTTATTGTGTGTTTATTGATGTTTGTAAAATGTCCCCCTTTGACAGTCCTGTAAAGTGTATTAAGTGGCCTTCTGAACTGTAAAAATCAACTTTAAGTAAACAGAATATTATGCCAAATGATTTATGACAACCATAAGTATATTTAGCCTCACTGCAACACATCTGTTAGAAGTGAGAAGCCTACCTGAAGTGAGTTTAACCAAATATGTTTCACAAAATAAAGTTTATTTTAATCATTTGTCTAGTCTTGGTCTAGTCGTTTTTCTTCTCAAAATAACTAGCATGTGTTATCGAAATATATACTGTACAGCGGCCACCAGGGGTCGCTATCAGCCATACAGATGATTCTGACTGAAATAGAACGAAATCAAATAAATATACTGAAGTTTTACTGATAGTCTTAAGGCCAACCTCCCTGCTTTTAAAATCTCATTTCTTAAATTTAGTCTTTATAAACTGGATCCATGTGTAGTAAAGCCAGAAGAAAAAAGCTCTGCTACTGAATTGTGTCAATATTTGTACAGAATATCTGTGACTTAACCAAAATTTATACAAAATGGGAAGTTCAAGTTGAAAGTATTACACACAAATACTCTTCATACATTTACTCTGCATCTGTAGAGCAACTGAAAACCAGGACCTTTAAAAATCAATTATATGGTATTGGGAGTGTTATTAAAAAATATTCTTGCAGCAGTGGCAGAACAGAGAGTTGAAACATGCAGAAGAGGTACATGTTGACGATAATAAATATGTTAAACAGCTGAGAGGCAGAGACCAGTAAAAGCTGTTTCAGATGACTGAATATTCTAATCAAAATCTTCTTGGGGATGATAAAGGTAAGAAATTCAAGTTTATTTATGTCTGCCAAGATTTACAAAGTGTTAGTATCTAATGCCCTTTTCCTTTGAGCCAGTTTAGAGTTTCTTTAGTAGTAATTTGATATTTAGATGATAACTTTACTTTAGAATTTCTCAATAGTTTTTCTAATCAGGTGATCAATCCTGGTTCTGGTAGGTTCACAGGAGAGGCCTTTGTGTGTGAGAGACGTGATCTCAAAACAATTTATCAGTATATATCAGCAGTTTATTATCAATTCAGGAAAAGGAATCCACAGACGTCATAATGTATCACTAAAATATTGAATTAAATTGTAGTGTTTGTGAGGCTTCCATCACTCAGCTTTGACTTTTTTTTTTTTTTTTTACAAGAAAGACACACCGGTTGACCTACACACATATAAACAACCATAATGTGCCTTTTCAGTAATAGTAGACTCATCAGAGTTGGACCTGACATTGTTGTTGCCAAGAGACACTGTAATGTTATTAATATGATACTGAATGGTCACAATTCCCTTTCTTGATTAGCAGTTCTGAAGTGCACTTTAGTGAAACACTTCACCTCCACTTCCTCCAGCAGAGCAGCTCAGTGGTCAGCAAGACTTGGCTTTCACATATAATGTCATTACTGTTCTTGTCACACCCTCGTATCAGTAACTAATTGCAGCATTTGTTACAGAGGAGGCATTGAATGATCTGATGAGTATGAAAACCATGTGAATCATATGCTTTTACAACGCCCTGATCTCAACCAAACTGAACAGCTATGGGTGATTTTGAACAGAAGTCTTAGACTCCTGTGCTCTAACAAACATCACTGAGACTTTAACGAGGGAATATCTTTTGGAGGAATGTTGCTCATCTCTTCAGTAGACTTCAACAGACTTGGGGTAAAAAGTCAAGCCACGGAGAACTGAAGTTGTTCAGGAGGCTTGTAATGACTAAAAACCTTGCTGAGACACTTCATGTAGTCTTTTCCTGATGATTGTGAAAAGTTTCACCCCTTAGTTTACACAGAAACCATGTAACCAAACCAAAACATTTTTGCTTTATTGTATTGATCGATATACTTCAAGGACAAGTGGTATTAATGTGAAAAGCAGAATATTAAGTGATTATAATAATTACCGTCGTGTTGGTGGTGCAGTAGCTACTGTAAATATGAGGTGCTCTTGTGTTCTCTAATAAACAATAAATTAAAAAAGAATTCATTACAAATGTACAGCCTTTATAAAGTACAGTTAATAATATCACAAAATCCTATTACAGCAGTATTTTCAAAAATGCCCTTGTATCACAAATAACATCAGTAGATATTGTTTAAGCCAAAACTTAATTCTCTCAATGGCCTTCTTTCTCTGACACACACATGCTCTCTCTCTTACACATGCTCACACACAGACACACAAACATACGCACTGTTCACCATCATTTCATACTGCATCCAAACATGTACACCGCTGCTGTTTGCGCCAGTCAACAGAAGCAAGGTGGAATTACAGCTCTCTCACCTTGACGACCAGCAAATTTCAATTGCACATTATGCGGATCGCACCTACAGTAACGTTATTATACTGATATCACAAGAAGATGAAAGACATTTGGGTAGTATGAAGTTTAATAATTTCATTTCTATCCTATGCAGTGGCAGACATCTTGTTATATAGGTTGTTGTTATGCCCAGACTGTTGCTGAAAAGACGGAGCGGACAGAGATATGTAGAGTTAACTATTAGCCATGACTACACTACACAGCTTTTGTATTGTTTAACCGGTCGAGCAGGCACTGATGCAGATATTTGGCTGAGAGTTTGTTGTATGCACCACATAAGACAGAATAAAGTGAGAGAGTCTAAGCAAAAAATCATTGTGTGTAATACAAGAGCTCAATGGGTTGTAATTAAGAAACATTTGGCATGCTTTATAGTAGTCCTTTCTACTATATATTAAGAAAAACAAAAGTTTTTATGGAATACCATAAACAAAATGATAATTTTATCATTTTTTATATTGCAGTGTTGCGTAAAAAGCAGGTTACACAGTGGGTCAGGCTCCTTCCTGCTGCTGCAGTGTAGTGTGTATACAGTAGATATGTGTGTGTGTTTATGTGCATGTTAGCATTGCAGTATTAAACTGTCCTGTCGGCTCCCGAGCGTTTCCGCACAACCTTCTCCTCATTGACCTGGTCCACTGCCAGTGTCTCCAGCTCTGCTTGCGGCGGGGCCAGGGGAGGGGTGCCATGTGGAATGCGGTGCGCCACACCCACATGAGCCCTGTACTGACGGTCTCGAGCGGGGCTGTGACGAGGGCTGGCCGTAGCACCCAGGGGAGGAACGGGGGAGCGCTCAGAGGCAATGGGAGGGATGACGGCGGGCCGTTCACGCACTACCTGTGGCTCAGGAGACTCTCTCCCAGCCTGCAGGAAGGGTGTGGGGTCAGGCATGGCATCAACCGTCTCCCGCAAAACCACCCGCCTCCCATCTGGGCCAAGCCGGTACACCTCTGTCAACTCCGGGTGAAGAGGCTGGGAGAGGCTCTTCTTCATGCGACGACGTGGCGTTTCAGGCTGTCTGTCCTTGGCTGGAGGAGGCGTGGGCTTGTAGGAGGTGACTGGACTGACGTTGGGGCTGGCCTCAGAGGAGCTGCCAGCCAACAGCTTCTTCTTAGTGGCGTGAAGTTGTGAGGTAAGGTAAGCAATGGTGCTTGCTCTCTGCTCGAGCTCCCCAGACAAAACGGCCAGTTTATGGCTCTTCATCTTAAGCTCCTCCAAATACTTCTTCTCCCTCTCCTTGATGGTGTTTTCCAGGACGGATATCATGGCGTTTTTCTGCTCCAGGTCCCTGAGCAGCTCTGTGTTCTCCTCCTCCTTCTTCTTCAACTGGGCCTCAAGCTCCTCACACCTCCTTTGCAGCTCCCTGCAACGGACCTCACTGCTGTCTGCACACACAATAAAAGGCAGTTAAATCAGCAGCCCTGACATGTATGCACAGATGCATACTTGTAGTAAACAGCAAACATGAGTACACATAAATGAGTGCACACAAGAAATACACACCCAGAGACAAACCCAGACTGGACTAATCATTAGTGCATTAAGCGCAGACACTGAGTATGGACGGTCTGTCAGCTGACAGAGACAGTATGATCCTATGGAGACTCATCTGCAGTGGGCAGAGAGCTCCAGTCTCACATTACAGCTTTGTAAACAGCAAGGGCACTGCTCTCCTCTGACCTTCATCACTGCTGCCCCCACTCTGCCCTGCCCCACCCAGTTATAGCCGATACAGCCACGTCTGCATGTGTGCAGAATTAAAATACATTTCTGTACTATGTATATAAATGTGTGTGTATCACCAACTTTTCAATGTCTGGTTTACATTTCCATTTCCCAAACTCAGTCTTCTATCAAGCTCAGGGAGGGGTACAAAACTGAGTGTTGCTTTCCCTTAATTTTTTAAAGGAGGGGCTTGTAAATTTTCACCCCAGCTGGAGCAGCTGAGCTCTGCTGCACTAAGCAGGTTGCAGGCTGTGCATTAGTGCTGTGACAGATAATCTCATTTCCTGCACTCCAATCTCTGAGATGTCCCACACTAACATGATAGTGCCTCTAACTGGAGGCCCTAACAACATTGCTCAGATCTGGGCCAGCCATGTTAGAAAGCTTATAACATGCTGTGACCCTGGTGAGATCCAACATGCTTCCTGTGCAGTTGCACTCATCAGTGAGGTCATCAGTAGCCTGAAAATAAATTAAACTGCATGCCGCCTGTTAGTGGCCTCACTGACCGTACTACGCTGTACGTCAAGTCAGTATAAAGACAGTGGAGCCAGGCCTGAATCAAAGTGTTGTGACTCCAAGTCATGGCCATGGTAACGTGGGGGGAGGGGCAGTTGGCAATGAGCAGTGGGAGCACTAATGAACAGTGGGGAGTCCCACAATGCAATGCTTCCTGGGTGGGACATTGTTACCAGGAAACAGACAGAGCCCTCTTCTCTCAGGCCTGTCCTCTGACACAGACCTCTGTTTCTGCAGGAAACACAGATTTATAGCCCTAACTGTTGAAGAGTTTGTCTGCTGCTGTGTACCTTCACAATTTGAAACACTTGAGTGTAAAAATAAAAACTGTACTCTGAGATATTACCAGCATTATTAAACCAAATGGCAAGAATAAAGATTTTATACAAGTAACTGAAGTATTTCTAAGTCAATCTAATTCAACACAGTGCAACAGGTTTTAAAACAGTATTCATGAATTATACTGTATCGTTATATAAGTTGCGTAAGAGTAATACTCGTTAATATTAATGACACCAGACATTGAATGTCCCCGGTAAAACTGACACGCATGTGTACTATAAAGTATGATGGATGCTTACCTGAGGGATCAGAGCTTCTCACAGTGAGCTCATATGTCAGGTCTGTGAAAAAAGGAGAGGGTTACTCACATTTCTGCGTCACATGATGTTCCAACAGAGCAGTTATCAAACAGCACACACTCCTCAGACAGCCTAACTAGCAGCAAAGCATGTTTGGGGAAAACATGTCAGTGCTTTCCATATGGTGGAGCGTTAGTTTAACAAGATTAGTGAGAGTTCCATGTTAGCTTTGGTGCCAGGTTCACCAAGGATATGCATAATCAGGGCTAAAGCATACAGTGTCCTGTTTTTCTTTGATCTTGGCGACCATCTTGCTTTCCTTTGGAACAGAGTATATCTATTACTGATGATCGATACACATTTTTTCTGTGTTGCATCACTACAGTGCAGGGTGTACTCACTAATGCTTGAGTGCATTTCCCGTAAGTCATCAAATTCTCTCTAAAAGGCTTAATAGTGGCACCACAGCACCTTGTTGACTTTTGGTACAAAATATACATTTAGGTTGTAGAATACCAGGATCATTATTAACATTTATTACTTGTGCTGCTGTTTTCAGATATCCTCTATGAAGATCTTGAAGATCCTACTGGTTTTCCACAGCTGCATGAAGAGAAGACTGTAGGTACTTGAGGCTGTGCTCACCTGTGCACTGCTGTTGTAATCTGCGGATCTCAGCATGTAGCCCCTTCAACGTGTTGGCATGGTCCTGCTGGAGAAACAGCAGGTTTTTCTGTGCACTGTGCAGCTGATTTTCCAGGGTAACATTTGCTGATGCCATGGCTGATAATGTTCGGACACACACCAGCCTTGCAACCTCCAGACAGAGACGACAGAAAACAAGGAGAGAGACAAAGGAGAGAGGACGATAGATTAACAAATCAACTCATCTGGTAAACAGGCCGTTAATTCTCACCCTTTTGCACGTAAGCATCTGGGTTTTGGGATGCGCTCCAACTATGCTCTGACTGCAAACTGGTCCAACTCAATTTGCTTTAGAAGACAGATTGAACTAATCACTATACGATAATAACATTGAAATTCATCCAGACTGGAGGCCATGTGGCTCCTCATCTAATCAACCAACAGTAAAAATTGTACGCTGAAGAAAAAGCAAAGATCCACATTTATTTTTGTGCAGAATACGTGCGAAGGCTGTCATTGTTATTCAGGCTTGAATCAATGCTAGAGTACGATTTTAAAGAGAAGTCACCATAAGCAGACACACTGTTTTTATTTGCTGTAATTAGCAACCAATCACTGAAATTAAGCTATTGATTTAAAGCCTGAGAGTGAGTGGTCAGCGCCTTCAAAACACAGACATCTGAAAGGTAACCATTATCTAACATACCCTAATCTAATCTACACTCTATTTTATAATTTTATTAGGGCATCCAGTGGAAATACTCTTCGTTGGCACATTAGATACATAAGAAAATAAGGTCCAATTCTTACAATGGAATTAAAATGTTAAATTAGAAAGGTCTAAAATATAAAATACTCTTTCAGGTATATATGCTCTAGCTTCTTTCTAGCTTCTCTTCACATGGTAAAAATCCAAGCTGGACACACTGATAGACATCACATTGACAATGGGTGTGGCATGGAGGTGGCCAGTCTTGAGCAGGCTTTTTCCTTCTCTGCCTTGCCCCACCTCCTCTTCCCTCCCTTCACTGGATGTCCTTGTCTTCAGAGCCAAACCAGAGAGAGAGAGAGAGAGAGAGAGAGAGAGAGAGAGAGAGAGAGAAGCAATCTTTCAGTCCCAACATCTCCACCCTCCATCAGACATCTGTACTGGGCTGAGAGTTGAGAGCACATTGATCCCTGTGAAACACCCCTCCTGAGTGCAGATAAAGCTTCTCCCTGCATACATAAGTGTGCTTGAATAAAACATCCCAGAGCTTCTCACTCTTACATCATCAGTTCGCTAGCATGAATAATATATCCCATGGCACTTTGCCGGACACACTGCCCAGTTGTCTGTGTTTGTTTTTTTTTTCATTTCTTACACAGGAAAAGGAAGGCATGTGATAACCAAAACACTGGCTGGTAATCACAAATAGAGCCAGTGATGTGTCATAAAGGATGAAGAGATAATCTATTATTGATGAGTAATGTGGTGTCCTTCCAGTAAACCCTGTGCTGCAAGCATATCACTCATCCCATCCCTTTCCTAGAATAGCTTTTCAGTTGCAAAGACATCACCTCAGCCAACTTCACAACATGGCTCATGCCATATCATGGAGGTGACAGTGGTACAAAGTGAGTCCAGAACTTCAGGTAATTAAAAAGACAATAAAGTTAATCTATCTTTGTTCAGAGACAATGTAGCCTGACATCAGTAGCTATGTCTGTTTTAAAAGACAGAGATTAATATCAAACCAGCATAAGGTGTTCTTCCACCTTTCATGCCTTGCTTTTCCTAATACACAAACCAGCATTTCCCCAAACATAAGAACATAAATAATCAATGAACTGCAGCAGCATGAAACACTAGCTAGTAGCTACCATCCTCAGCTACAAGAAGAACTTAGCAGTCAATGTTCAGCTGTTTCAGTTTCTTTGCACACAAATGTCGATACTTCATCTTTGGTTTTGACTATGTGGACTGTGGCTTTTCTTCGCATATGTTCATTAAATTTGTTGGTAGCATTTTAGGGGAAAACACACCCTGGAATAATGAACCTATTCAACATCTAATGCCTACCACGTCAATTATAATAATAATTGTGGGTACAGATTGACAATTCAGGCTAAATCAGTTTAAGCATGACAAACATTGGCTACAATTGTATCAGGATATAAAGCTACGTGTTAGCCGGCGGGGACGCTTGATACTTTCCACGGCACTTTCAATTTCAGCACCTGCATTGCGGACAGCACCCCAAACCCAGAGCTCACATTAAACCGCTGCTGGTCCTGGCAGCAGCTGCCAGAGGCTCATTACTTCACACAAACGTTATTGTAAAGCTTCAACCAGTGAGATCATTCGGAACATGACCTTCTTTAACATTATCTAACAAAATGTTAGTGGTCGTAAATCCGGGGCCTGGCAAGCGGTGCCTATGAGCGACTTCAAAACATTTCACTTCCCGTTGTTGTTTGATGACCTGATGTACTGTAGGATGCCATTTCCTACGGTCATCACAAAGAATGTCCTTGCAGCTAATGGTATGTACTGCTGCTGTCCAGGGAGGAGCTGTCCAGTTTCAGGAACCGCAAACATGCTAGCCCTGATACATGCTATTCTCTGTTGAATGGGGAAAACGTCACACCACACTCCCTTTACAATCCTACACCCAAACAATCGCCTGCTAAACACAAAGGGAAATGTACCAGTAGTAGAATATGAATATTTTTTATTGCATTGTGGAGATGTTCTTATAAATTCGGCATACATTGAATCCTCCAAGTAGGGTTTCTTCATATTAGCAGTTGCCACCCTCGTATTCAACGATTTAAGATTTTTCTATCGAACAACAGGAATAACAGACAAACCCATTACTACAGTTAAAATGTCACTTAAGTCCACCTACTTGGACAAAAGCCGAATTAAAAATTGTCTGCAAAGATAAGCAAAATTATATAAAATTGCGATTTTTTTCTGAAACACCCTCTTCAAACAGGGGAAGTATGTATGAGGCTTTAATTGTGCTAGCCTCACTGAACAGCTAACGAGGCTACAACAGCCCATTATCTTGTGGACAGCTTACCTTATGGCTAAAAATAGGCGTCCGTCGAATATCTTATAAACGGTTGTAAACTGTAGTTGAACAGACAAGCCACACCGGCTAAGTGCGTTCCGCCTTGCGGGGCATGTCGGTGATGCTGTCAAGGGCTCGCCTTGGTCGGGTGAGAGCGGAGGGTGGCTGTGTCAGTATCCTCTCATCTCCCTGAGCTACTAGACAAAATAAAGCGATGCATCATGGGAAATCAGGGGAAATTATTTCCAGCCTAAGGACATTCAAAAACGACTATATCTAACCGTGTCTATCAACATAGGAATTTAGAATTAGAACTTGCATTTAAAAAAAAAGAAGGACAACATAAGTGGTAAAATGGCTTTTACCAGCCTTATATGACATGAAATGTAGAAGTATCAGGGACGTGCTACGGTTTTCATTGACCAGCGTCATCACCATAGCAACAGAATGTGTCACCTGTTTAGTAGTGATGCATTCACGCCACCTAGTGACAGCTTCGGAATGTAGGATTTCTGGAATAAGTGAGTTTCCTAGAATTTTTTAACATTTACTACACTGTATCTAGGTGTCAGATTTAATGTCCATCTTGTGCCAAACCGCTTGGGTGAAGTAAATTAATGAGAATAGATTAAAGCTGCTGGACAGGGTCCAGCTAGTGGACAGCAGAGGGGAGTGTTGCTCTTCAGTGGAAGTGAAGGGATCGTCCAACAGCAAACTGGGGACACTCTTTCACATGAAACACTACTCTGTCTTAGTTCAACCACACACCACAGACGGTGGCTCTGTGCCTTTCTCAAATATGCATATCACTAAGCTATTAAAAAACAGTTCCATTGTATTTTTATAAACTTAAATGAATATTTGTTGTATTTTTTTGAGCTCTTTTTTTTTTCGAATTACATCTATGGTAAAATCAAATTTTGGATTTTCTAGTGGTCCGTTGTCATTAGAGATTATTAAGGAATGTATAGGTCTGTTCTTAACTAACATAATTAAACCATTAGACGTTAAGCAAAACACACAAAAGATATCAGGATTATATAATAGTGGACAGTACAATATGCAGTTTGCCATTGAAACTCTTCTGATAATAAATATGTTTGACTCTTTGTGTGCTTTTGGATAATATTCAGGTAAACTGGTTGGTTGGTAGATAAATATTTAGGTTAATTCACACCTGATGAAGCTATTTAAGTGGAAATGTTTACGGATGACAGATTATTGTGTATTTGTCACCTGTAAAAGGTTAGTAAAATATGTCTATCATGTTAATTTTCTTTTATAAAAAGGTTTGTTTGTTTTAGAAATAATTTGAGCAGTCCTGACAGAGCACTGTCTGTAGTATATTTTGTCAGGACTGCATCAAAGTGTACACGTATATGCGTGTGCATGTGTGTGTATGCATGTGTGCATGTATATCATCACAACTCTGCAGCACCCTCTTTCCCCTCTTGCTTTATTTTTTATATGATATGGGTTGAACATTGAGTGACATACTAAATACACTTCTATAGATTTTCCATACTCAATTTATTCTACTATTTAAATGGTTAAAGTGTTATACTTCCTGTGCAGTTTTTCAGAGGAATAATTCAATTTTGCCTAATCTGATATCAGCACTCTTGACTCAGAGTTTCTTAGTCTGAGTTGTGAAAACCTGGGACACAGAAGCCTTTTCATACTGACTCAAAATATCACCTTAAATTATTTCTGGCAAAAGAAATTCCTCAGTGGCATAGCTACTGCGTAAAATGATATAAAGCAAAAACAAAAGCATCAATTTTCATTCCCAACCTAAGAAAGAGTCTCACATGTAAAAAGAAAATAGCTTGTGGAATAAATGGAATTATTGTCCTGCTCCAGAAATGTTACTTTTCGGAAGTAGCCTTTAATCTCCCCCCCGGCTATGGCATGTTTGTGATAGGGATTAAATTTTTCTCGTTTCTTTATTTTTAGGGTTTCTGGCACACTTCCCAGCTGCCTGCAGAAAGCAACCAGTTGAGGAGAAGGTAAGTTATCCTCACCTCAGCAGGAGTGAGGTGAAAAATAATTCCCCAACAGAGACCTTTACCTTCCTTGTGATTTGTTTTACTTACACACTACTAGAGATCTTCATATATCATAACAGGTAGTAAAGTTGCTCAATGAGAAACACCAACCAAATAAAACAAGCAGGATTGCCTCTGGACTCCTCCTGTGACTCTAACCAGTTCACAGCCGTTGTTTTTTTGGCCTTTGCCTACGGGTGATCCGGTGCTGGGTTGAATCCAGCTGAGAAATGTCCTTCACACAAGTTGACCAACACTTCTCTCCCACCTGGGGCGTCCACAGTGGGATTTCCTTTAACAATCTGGCAGGCCTCATAAATATGTCTCTGATTTACTGCCGAGTGTGTCAGTAGATTGACGTTGTTTTTTATGAAGAAGGCGAGGAAATACATTCTCCCAAACACAGCCATGCACTGAAATATTCCAAGTGATGGCGTAGAGACAGCGGCGAGGGTTCTGGACATGGGCCCTAAATGTCAGTGCTGGAAAAGTAATAAGGGTGAACTATTAAGCTTTTGTTACAACTTCTGGGCATCAATGAAACATCAAAAATCAAATTTATACCATTTTGGAACATGTCTCATTGGTATAGTTGCTGGACTACAAACAGATAGCGCAGGTCCTTCTCAAATTCATAGAATTACAAATGAAATGTAGGCACATGGCAGCCTGTCTCAAATGGCACTGTTTTACTGCCCCTGCTCTGACAAGCTGCCAATAGCAACACTTCTCAGGTTGTAATAGTTTTACAGTTATTATATTGAGGTTGGCAAGGCAAAATGCCTTTAAAACCCTGAAAGCCTCATTTAATTTTCCAAGACCTTTTTTTTTTATTTGTCTGTCCAAAGAAAGTCATAATCACTCGACTGTTGAACTGAATGTGTCATTTATGTGAAAACTTCAAAGTAAGCCACTGACAGTGCGATGGCATTAACTTATTTCAACTTTATAACAGTGTATTTAACACTGGATATACAGCATCATCACGTGGATGCAACTGGGCAACATTTGAACCTTAGCTGAGGTGTTAAAAAATAATTTGCCATCGTAATCTCTAGTATACTGTAAGCATTAAGTGCCTGTGCATAATACCCCACATACAGAGGGCACATCACACTCATAAAGCTCCTCATCACATTTTAGCCAGATGTTGAGTCTATAACAGATATTTGAATCTTCTCTCTCTCCAATGGTAAATGGACCCAGAGTTTTTTCTATTTTGATTTGCTCTGTGCCTGTGTAGTAGGGAAAGTATTTGTCCTTTTGAGTCCTTACACAGTATCTACAGTATGAATGTTGGTAGCATCTGGACTTTATATGAGGCCATTTGAAAATAAAAAGGCCAGAATATGTGAAATGAGCACTTAAAGTAAAGGTTATTTCAACAGCAATCAGCTTCTCTGACACAGTTTTGCACCTTTCAATTAATTCATGACAAATTTACTAGCTGACAAAACACAGAGAGGAAATTATAGCCAACATGTTACATAGGGCCCACATGGAAAGCCCTGCTATGGAATCATTGCACCACCACTGCCAAAATGTCTGTGCCTTTATTCTGGTAATGAGGGTGGACTGCAGGAAACCATGGTTTCTATGCAACAATTTAAAAAAAATTTTTTTTTACAGTCCAGGGAGAGCAGAGCACTCAATGCCATTTAAAGTGACACTTTAATTACTAGTGGTTAATGGACCACTAACACCAGACTTTGAAGTGGCTGTAACTCAAGGTGCCCGCACAGTCAGCCACAGCAAGAAAAATGTGTGCCGTGGTATAATCCTTCCACACGTGCTGGTACAAGACACATTGTGATAAGGCACATAACTCTGCTGAAATGAGCTAATGAAATAGAATACATGAGAGCTCACTGGACAAATCAAGGTAGATGAATTAAGCTTTGAGTATTCTGCCTAAGATTCTTGCTCTTTGTCAACTAAGATAACAGTTTAGAGAACACAGGAGAATTTAAAGTAAAACAAGTGCATATATCGAACAATTCTCTCTTCATTTCAGAAGGTGTTTGTGATTGTGATTTCATGTATGTCATATATAATGAACATATGAATCAATAAATGATATCAAAAAGTGTGCATTATTGATTTCATCTGCAGTCACTTGGCAGGTCACAGTTATAAAATGATATATAATGAACAGCACTACATAAACAGGACAATACAAATGGAAAAGTTCTCCATCCATTTACGATTCTTAGAGTTAAGAAACACATGACATGACATGACATGATTAATCAAGTGTGATCATTTCTATAGCAGTTGCAGCAGTTGTTGTTATTGGTTATTCATGTGTGTACGTTCATCGACATACATTTGCAGCTCTATCCTGTGACAGTGTTGTGGGAGATCATTAATACATAGACTAAATAATAGAGGGCCTGACATTGATCCTTGAAGTACACCCATTGTACACTTCATATCACCAGAAAGACATCCATTTAAGTGCTTTTGATGAAAATTTAAATTCAGAAAGTTCAGAATAGTTTATGCAAATCTGAAAATACAGCACAAACTACTTTTTCTTTTTCAAGCTTAGATTTTATGTGCCCTATTAGGTTTAAGGAAGCTGTTTTAGTGGTTGTTCAGGTGCATATAATGTAATATGCAATTCAATAGCCTAAAGTACAGAATTAATTTGAGGCTAACTTGTGTGGTAAGGTTATGTGCTAGCCCTTTGTTTGTGGTGGACACACTCCTCTCAGATTATCACAGTTTGGTCGACAACCAGGAAAGAAGTAGAGGCAGACATGCCTTTCCTGGACACAGAGCAGTCATAAAATCCTCCAGGCTCCTATTTCGACCACCTCAGCCATCCACTCTGCACCACCATAATCATGCCTGCAAGATACAGCTCAAAGATTCTCTGTTTTTCCAGAGACATAAGAGACTGGTTGTAGGTTTTCCCTGTTTTCAATAGAAATATTTCATCCTGGTGTCTAGTCACAATAAGGATGAGAATTTTGCTGACTTCTTCATTTCATGTCCCCATGTTTATCCATCCTCAAACCGCTGCTGGAGTATGCAAAAAAAGGAATCTTTGAACTGAACACTGGATTTTCAAAAGCAGAGAGAGCATGTCTCTGAAATAA